GATAGATAGATAGATAGATAGATAGATAGATAGACAGACAGATAGATAGATTAAAGCAGTTTATAGATAGATAGATAGATAGATAGATAGATAGATAGATAGATAGATAGATAGATAGATAGATAGATAGATAGATAGATAGATAGATAGATAGATAGATAGATAGATAGATAGATAGATAGATAGATAGATAGATAGATAGATAGATAGATAGATAGATAGATAGAATAAAGTAGTTTATAAATAGATAGATAGATAGACAGATAGACAGATAGATAGATAGATAGATAGATATATTAAAGCAGTTTATAGATAGATAGATAGATAGATAGATAGATAGATAGATAGATAGATAGATAGATAGATAGATAGATATATAGATAGATAGATACATAGATAAAAGCAGTTTGAAAAAGGATAGATAGATAGATAGATAGTTTTGAGGTCACAAAGTTAGATCTATTGTTAAGTCAATGACAGTCTATTGCAGTAAAAGTCTATGGGACAGTTGTTGCTAGGGTGCAGTATCTGGTAGTTAGGGTGTGGCTAGAAAGTTAAAAGCTCATCAGTTATTGGCAGTTTGGTAGTCTGAGTTACATGAGCTCAACCATTAGTCTGTATGACAGTGTGATGCAAAGTTATGAGCTCACAAAGTTTGATCCCATGTTAAGTCAATGAGAGTCTTTTGAATGGAAGTCTATGGGACAGTTTCTAGGGTCCAAAAGTGGTTGCTAGGGCGTGGCCAGAAAGTTAAAAGCTCATCAGTTATTGGCAGTTAGGTAGTCTGAGTTAAATGAGCCCAGTTAGAAGTCTGTGTGACAGTCTGATGCAGAGTTATGAGCTCACAAAGTTTAGTCCAATGTTAAGTCTATGGGATTTTTCCGACGGTCCCGGGACGTTTTTCGGAAAATCGAAAGTCGGATCAGTCGGAAAAGATATGGCATACCGAGTCAGAATAGTTTGGAGGTCTGGTGTGAGTTTGGTGGTCATAGCTCGAAAGCTCTAGGAGGAGATAGATTTTGAATTTTAGTCTCAGAAGAAGAAGAATAATATATAAAAAAAATAATAAGTTTAAATAGGATTTCAGTAGTCTGGCTTGTTTCTCAAGCCAGCCTAATAAGTTTAAATAGGATTTCAGTAGTCTGGCTTGCTACACAAGCCAGCCTAATAATAATAATAATAATAATAATAATAATAGTTGTTGTTGTTGTTAATATTATTATTTCTATTTTGTACATTATATGTTGTTTTATTATAATATGTATTTATTAATTTATTTATATAGAAATTATTATTATTATTATTATTATTATTATTATTATTATTATTATTATTATTAATATGTTTGTTATTAAGATTATCATTTTATGTTTGTTATAATTATAATTATTATTATTATCATTATTATTATATTTGTTTTTATTGTTATATATTTTTATTATTGTTAGAATAGAATAGAATAGAATAGAATAGAATAGAATAGAATAGAATAGAATAGAATATACATTATGCTTAATTTTTTTGAGTTCAAATACATGCACACAGAGATCACAAATATTACATCTTCAATTTAAGTATAAATATAATTCTTATTGATATAAATCTTAGTTGTTACATTCAGTAATGGCTTATTCTTAAAATCTTTTGGTCTAATTTCACTGTTTCCACACACAAGACTTCATCCTGTTTCATTCTTATGTGTTTATCATCTTTCAGTACATCATACAGTAGAAGATTTCAGTTTAGGCTACTAATGACTAGAAACTAAAATTCACGGAAACTGCACTGGTTCCACTGAGAGATGTTTACTGACAGGTGAATCCACGTCTCTGTGTTACATAAAGTAGCGCTGGAAGTTTTCTTTCTTTTATGTATTTCTCAGTATCCCTTGCCTTTCGTCTTTTCTAAATTAAAATGAAGCATTTGTTTTCTTTCTGAAAGATAGAGAAGCCTGTCTTTTTTTAGATTACCGTGAAACAGTGTTTACAACACATTTTATTTCCAGAATACGATTGTATTTTTGATTGATATTGTTATTATAGACAGGACAGATTTTATCTATCGTAAATTGATTTGGTCTTGAAAAGTATTCAGAAATTCGACTTCATGTTGACTTAAAATGTTTCTACACAGCCAACAGAACATTTTGACATTAAATAGAAACCTATATATATATATATATATATATATATATATATATATATATATATATATATATATATATATATACATACATACAAATTGAATAAGGTATGCTCTCTGTATTTTTAAAAATAAAACTCACTGTAATATAGTAATTATCATCAGAAATGTTATGATAACAGGGTATATTATTTGGGAAGTTAAATTCTGGCACGCTTTCTCTGCACACACACACACTGACACACACTTTCTCGGCCTGATTTATTGAGGTGTTGATGGAGTTTAGAAAGCGAGATCTCATCACTAACACATCACTGTCTCATCTGCTCCTATGTCCTTTTCAAAGGCATCCGTGCTCGTCTGCAGCTGTTCAAAGAGCCTCTTTTTACTTTCTCTAAAAAGGAAAGTGCTATCACTAAGAAGTTCTTCTTTCACCAATTACTAGAATTAAAGAGACAGTTCAGCCTCAAGCCAATCAGGCCGTTATTGGTTTTGTTTTCTTCAGTGGAACATTAAAGGGGTATGTTAAACAAATCTATTTTTACATGATGTTTGTAGATAAATGTATGTTGATAGTGACCACCTTACTGAAATAAATGATTCAATGATAATTTCTTGGGTTTACTATTTTTTACAAGTGGTTGTAAACAATTTATTTAGGCTGAATTAAACAAACAAATTAGGTTGATCATCACTTTTTTTTTATTCAACCCATATAAATTGTTTGCAACAATTTTTTCAGTGCATGTAATAATTAAAAAAAAAAATAACATTCACCTCTTTAAAAAACGTATTGTATAAAAAAAATCCCATAAAATAGAATAAGCTGTTTGCAAAGTCTGTACAATGTGGCATCACGTTTTACAGGCTCTGCTTCACTAGCTCTAGTTTACACATGGGATGTTTTCCCCTCACACAAATTTTTCACTAAATTATTTAATCTTGTGCGTAAATGAGAGATCGAATCATTCTGTACATTCATAGAAATTGCGTCATGCATTGCACATGATGATAATTTGCCTCTGTTTGTGCCTCTTTAGTCTCTTTTACACAATTATTGATGTTTTTTTAGGAAAGGGATCATGAGTGAATGGGCCCTTTTTGAAAATACCAGTGAATTATTTCCGTCAATTTTCCTGAAAGAGAAGTTGTAACATTAACGTTAATTTGCTGGAATGCTGCTTTGTCTGAACGTCGAAGGAAAATTGACTGAAAAACCGCGTTCAGGTTTAGAATGTTTTGTTTTGTTTTGTTTTGTTTTGTTTTGTTTTGTTTTGTTTTGTTTTGTTTTGTTTTGTTTTGTTTTGTTTTGTTTTGTTTTGTTTTGTTTTGTTTTGTTTTGTTTTGTTTTGTGGCAGCGCAGTGGCGCAGTAGGTAGTGCTGTCACCTCACAGCAAGAATGTTGCTGGTTCGAGCCTCGGCTGGGTTAGTTGGCATTTCTGTGTGGAGTTTGCATGTTCTCCCTGCGTTTGCGTGGGTTTCCCCCACAGTCCAAAGTCATGCTGTACAGGTAAATTGGGTAGGCTAAATTATCTGTAGTGTATGAGTGTGAGTGAGTCTGTGTGGATGTTTCCCAGTGATGGGTTGCAGCTGGAAGGGCATATGCTGCATAAAAACGTGCTGGATAAGTTGGCGGTTCATTCCGCTGTGGCGACACCAGATTAATAAAGGGACTAAGCCAAAAAGAAAATGAATGAATGATTATTTTATTTTGTTTTGTTTTGTTTTTTGTTTAGTTTAGTTTAGTTTAGTTTAGTTTAGTTTAGTTTAGTTTAGTTTAGTTTAGTTTAGTTTAGTTTAGTTTAGTTAAGTTTAGTTTTGTTTTGTTCACATAACATTTGTGAGAAATACTACAGTAAGAACTTTCCCAATGATTATTTGATGTATTTGTTGTGGAGTTAATTTAAGCTTCTCTGCAAAAATGAGTCACACAATGTCGATACAGAGTTCACTCACATACACACAGTGGTAACACACACACATACAGTGTGCACATTGAACTTTGCACTCTTTTTGCGTGAAAATGTGACAGGATACACGTTAATATCCACTGCTGTATGGATATCCATTATGCTAATGTACAAAAATAGACCTGATTTAACATCCACAAACCGGGATTGAATCGTCTTCTTTTATAATTGTACTGACATGTGGCTGTGCTGATGAAGACGGTAATATAGCTGTAATTCATTACAAACATGCACTGTTTTAAAAACGTTTTAAACTTGTAAAACTCATTCTTGATCACATTTGATAATGACTGAGGATCACAGACAGCTGAACAGATCTTTTAATCCCAATTGCTTTGTGCACATCCTGTCCTGTTGATGAGATTATACATGTCACTATGGAGGCGTTTATACATGACCGTCAATCAATTTGGTGGGAGGGGAAACCGCACTCTTACATCAGGTTGCGGTGGGCCTCAAAATAGGAGGGATTTGGATCCTATTTTAATGTCAGGAAATTAAAAAAAGAGACTTATTGTTTTTATATCATGTCTGTGGACACAGTATACCTACACACAGTTCTGTCCAAACAGCTTGCAAAATATGTTTTTAATCATAGGTGCCCTTTAAAACATCTATATCTACTACAGCTATAATATTGAGGCTATTATATTGAGGCTATAATATTGACTTGAGGCTGAGTAAAGTGTAATTGTCATATTTTGTTGTAAAATATCTTTAAATAATGTAAATGATCCCATTGCAGTCAAGGATAAAAACAAGAGATTAATTCATCTTTCTTTCTTAGTTTAACATTACACTGTCTATTGTAATCAAAAATGAAATTACATGGGAAAATTTGCCAAACACACGTCTCTCTTTCTCTCTTTGTGTGTGTGTGTATGTCAGGAGCTGTCAGAGGTGAACTCTACGCAGATGAGAAGTCAGACCAATACAGCGCGTGTGGATGGATTACGGCCAGGCACCATGTATGTAATGCAGGTTCGCGCCAGGACTGTCGCCGGCTTCGGCAAATACAGCAGCAAAATGTGCTTCCAAACCCTCACAGATGGTACGAACCCCCACGCCAATGCCTGTGTGTGTATGTGTGTGTGTGTGCGTGCGGAGGCGCTCTCAGAATCTTGGTGATTTCATTCCTGGAGCAGATTTATTTAGAGTTGCTGAAACAAATGCTTCAGTATTCCTTTTTTATGCTCAATATATTCCAGGTTTGCGTGATCATCATTATGTATCATAAACAGGTTATGTGTGTGTATGTGTGTGTTTGATGTTTGTCCAGAGAAACTGCTCAGCTGAATGATTTTCATCGGCACCATGTGCGGCATGCAAGCTTTCCCAGAATGCTTAGCTCATTGATTAGTGAAAGATGTTAGATTAATCATTATCTGTGGAAAGTTCTGTAGGGGTGTTAATGGTATAATATCGGTTTGCACCTTTCGGTTTGGTATGGATGATGTTTTATATACATTAACTTTAACAAATCTATGTACACTTACCGGCCACTTTATTAGGTACACTGTACTAGTACCAGGAGGACCCTCTTTTGCTTTCCAAACTGCCTTAATCCTTTGTGGCATAGATTGAACAAGATATTCCTCAGAGATTTTGGTCCATATTGACATGATAGCATCACGTAGTTGCTTCAGATTTGTCAGATGCACATCCATGATGCTGATCTCCCGTTCCACCACATCCCAAAGGTGCTCTGTTAGATTGAGATATTCTTATAGTCAGACAATGGGTGAATGAACGGTTTTCATTAGATGTCTCACCTTTCAAGTTCAGTCTATTTTATCAGGACGTTAATGCAATATTTCTGTGACAGGCTTCAGTTTAACTGGAAGCAAAGCTTGAGTGATAATCATAATCATAATCCATTCCTCCCTGTTTACTACATGATATAGCACTATATAAACATGAATGAGCATCTCACATCTCATGTAATCTCTGAGTCAGTATGACAGACACAGAAAGACGTCAGTAAGCTCGGTTGTAAATAATCCATGTCGCATTATATTTCTTGTACCTCAGGGAAGTTATTCAGTGTCCAGAGCTCATTAGTTCACTAGAGGAATAACCTCTAGAGAAGAGCGGTTTCCCATATATTTTCATATCTGTCTGTCTGTCTATCTATCTATTGATTTGCCCATTTATTTATAATGCCAGGTTTTTTTTTGTTTTTTTTTTTAACTTATTAAAAAAAAAAAACTGCCATACTGTTTAACACATACAGTAATTCACTCTTGCTGTTTTGCTTTCTTTTCTCTCTCTCTCTCTCTCTCAGTGGAAGTGATTGGAAGTGTTTATTGTGTCTTAGGGCTCATTTCATTTATTCGTGATGTAACACATTCACACACAAAATAATAATAAGAAAAATATATTTGTTGTGCAGTTGATGATTTCATATATTTTTTTCTAATTAATTGGTTAATTATTTACTTGTCTTGTCTTGACTTGACTTAACTTAATAACTCGCTCACTTACTCTTACCTTACTTCCTTCTTTATTAAGCGTCACCACAGCAGAATAAACCGTCTTTATTTTATTTTATTTTATTTTATTTTATTTTATTTTATTTTATTTTATTTTATTTTATTTTATTTTATTTTATTTCACTATATATTTAATAACATTTTAATTCACTTTATTTTTTATTGTATTTTAATTTACTATATATTTTATTTTATTTTACTATATATTTTTTTTTATTTCACTATATTTTATATTTAATTTCATTTTACTATATATATATATATATAATTTTATTATTCAATCATTAATTTTCTTTTTGGCTCAGTCCCTTTTTTAATCAGGGTTGCCACAGTGGAATGAACCGCCAATTCATCCAGAATATGCCATTAATATGCTAACGGGTATATTCCAGCCGCAACACATCACTGGGAAACATCCATACACTCACATTCACACACAAACTATACAGACAATTTAGCTTGCCCAGTTCACCTATAGCGCATGTCTTTAGACTTGTGGGGGAAACCGGAGCACCCAGAGAAATCCCACGCGAACACGGAGAGAACATGCAAACCCCGCATAGAAATGCCAACTGACCCAGCCGAGGCTTAAACCAGTGACCTTTTTGCTGTGTGGCAACAGCGATACCCACTGCGCCACCATGCTGCCTATTTGACTATATTTTATTTATTTTATACTACTATATTCATTTATTAGTTTTCTTTTCGGCTTAGTCCCTTTATTAATCCGGGGTCACCACAGTGGAATGAACCGCCAACTCATCCAGCATATGTTTTACGCAGCGTATGCCCTTCCAGCTGTAATTTATAACTAGGAAACTTCCGTACACACTCAAAAACATACACTACGGACAATTTAGCTTACTCAATTCAACTATACCACATGTCTTTGGACTGTGGGGGTAACCGGAGCACTTAGAGGAAACCCACGCCAACACGGGGAGAACATGCAAACTCCTCACAGAAATGCCAACTGACCCAGGCGGGGCTTGAACCAGCGACCTTCTTGCTGTGAGGTGAATGTGCTACCCACTGCACCACCATGCTGCCCTATATTACTATATATTTTATTTTATATTACTATATATTTTATTTTACTATATATTTTATTTTGTATAACTATTTATTTTATTTGCTTAATTTTTAAATAAGAAACAAAACATAAAAAGCCCCTATTTTGCTTTGTTTCTCCCTGATAACCTCTGTCTCTCTCACAAGTTTGATTAATGGTGCTATATCTGTAGTCCAGCATGTCGTGGCTGATGACTGTGCCAGACAAACACTCACACATACGCACACACACACACACACACACACACACACACACACAAACACAAGCACGCAAGCAGACACACAATTTTACTTGTCCAGCTCACTTGCACTTTCATTTTTTTATGCTTCATCTTTAACACAGCCCTCCTTGTCTTTGCTGTCACACTGGTGTAAATATAACTGAACTGTACTTGTAATCTGGGACACACACACACAAAGAGACACACAGGTGTAATGTGTAAACAAAGCCCTGTGGTTAAACAGTGTGGTACAGGCTCTTTCTTGACTATAATTAATGCATTTTTACACAACAAATGCTTTTGTGCATTTTCCAAACACATTTATTCAGAGTGACTTACTATGTATTGTCAGTTAATGCGTTTCCTAGGAATAAAAGCCGTTACCTCGACATTTCTAGCAACATTTTGTGCATCTCCAAGATAAACCTTGTTATATTTCATAACAAGAACCTAAATTAAGTTTTGAATATTTACACAAATCATTTCAAGTTTGCTGCATCCTAATTTGCATACTTGAAATGCACTCACCGGCCACTTTATTAGGTACACCTTACAAGTACTGGGTTGGTCCACCATTCAGAACTGCCTTAATCCTTCGTGGCATATATTCAACAAGGTACTGAAAAAATTCCTCAGGGATTTTGCTCCATATTGACACGATAGCATCACGCAGTTGCTGCAGATTTGTCGGCTGCACATCCATGATACGAATCTCCCATTCCACTACATCCCAAAGATGCTCCATTGGATTGAGATCTGGTGACTCTGGAGGCCATTTGAGTACAGTGAACTCATTGTCATGTTTAAGAAACCAGCCTGAGATGATTTGCACGTTATGTTATAACTGCTGAAAGTAGCCGTTTGAGGATGGGTACACTGTGGTCATAAAGGGATGGACATGGTCAGCAACAATACTCAGGTAGACTGTGGTGTTGACACGATGAGTTATTGGTACTAATGGGCCCAAAGTGTGCCAAGAAAATATCCATTACACTACCACCAGCAGCCTGAACCATTGATACAAGTCAGGATGGATCCATGCTTTTATGTTGTTGACACTAAATTCTAACTCTACCATCTGGATGTCTTAGCAGAATTCGAGACTCATCAGACCAGTAGTGGTCACTGGCCAGTTTACATGCTGGCCCTTCCAGTTCAATGCGAGTACTCGTCTGTTGCTGGGGTCTTACAGGGATCAGTCTCATGCTCTCAAATCCTCCATGACCACCACAGCAGCTGCTCAGGATACAGCCTGATCCAGGATAATGGAAACCTCAGGAATGATTAAAACAGACTAACATAAGCTTAATAAGATACCATTCAAATTTCAATGTCTTTTGGGAAGCGTTTCTGGCTCTGGTTGCCTTAAATAATGCAGACTAACAATCCTTTAGAGCAGGGGTCACCAAACTTGTGTTCTGCAGATTTTTGCTCCAAACCTAAGCAAACACACCTAAACAAGCTAATCAAGGTCTTACTAGGTATACTTAAAACACCCAGGCAGGTGGGTTGAGGCAAGTTGGAGCTAAAACGGGACACCGGCCCTCCTGGACCAAGATTGGTGACCCCTGCTTTGGAGGATGTGGATTTCAACAGCATTTGTGTTTTATGTGTATGCTAATATAAAGAGATGTGTCTGCTTTGCTGAACAAGGAAGGCTGTTCCAGAGTTTAGGTGCCAGATATGAGAAAGATCTACCACCTACACTTGAGTTTGATATTCTGGGAATAATCAATTGTCCAGAATTAATTCAGCGTAGAGTACATGATGGGCTATAATACACCAGAAGCTCCCTCAAATACTGGGGAGCTAAGCCGTTCAGTTTTTTGGTAGTCAATTTTTTTTTTTTTTTTTAATTTATTCGATATTTAATAGGGAGCCAATGCAAAAATGAGAGTACTGGAGCAATATGATCATATTTCTTTGTTCTAGAAAGTATAGATGGTTCTATACTTCGAATTTCTAGTAAACCATCCGGAAACCTTTGGCATACATACTCTTAACATACTATGGTTTGGGACACACTTATTCTATTTTCAAATACTGTTTAGGACAAATAGTATGCAAATCAGGATGCAGCAGTTATCTCTAAAAACTATGTTTGTATATGTACCTACAGTAGGGATATGTTTTCTTGAAAAAAATAGCATAGATATTCCCACTATTCTGTTTAACAATATCTGAATCACATATTGAGCTTTAATTATCATCAAATACTTGTAGTACATTAACACAAATTAAGTGAATATACAGATGGAACACAGTGATGTCACACTGATGAAGACAAAACTCCCTATTTGTGAGTGTGTGTGAGGGTGTGTGTGTGCGCAGGCGGATCCGTGCCGTCATACTAACTAAAGTAATTAGTGCCCGCGTTCGCTCTGCGCCAGCTAACGGGTACATCCACTGGCATTCTGCCATGGCACGACATTCGTTACGACAATTAGCACCAATCACAGGGGAGAGAAGTCCACCTCACACAGTCACACACATACACACACACACCTCCTCTAGAAGCATAACACATGCTCTCCCCGGAGTCTCTCTCTTTCTCTTTCATTCTCTCTCTCTTTCTTGTTCTGACAGCCAGGTGTAATGATGAAGAAATGATTCTGTTAAATGAGGTGTGTTTAAGCCCAGTACTCAGCGAGACTGCTCTACTTCCTGTTGACCGTTATGGATTTAGCCAGCATGCTAAGAACCACCACCAGCGCAGTGGTTAAAATCTGGTGTGCAGTGACATACATATAGTATGCACCATTTTAATGCACACTCATTCACTAAAATACATGTAAATAAAGGTGCTTTATTTGTGGAAATTAATATTATTTCTAATGAGTCATGCTGTGATTCCTATTGGTTTAAATTGGTCTTTACCAATGTTCACTCGGCTGCTGTTTCATCTCTAGGCTCTTCAATCTCTTTGCTGAGCATTGACAAAACACAAAGCCATCTCCAAAGCAAATCCTCTGTATCATTAGGCACTGTTTACGAGCTCCCACAAACACTTCAGTTGTCTTCCTGAGGTTTCTTCATTTCAATGTACTAAATTTAGGTAGCAACGCATGGTGTGAGTTGTGCTAGAACACTGTAAAACCAAACAGTCAGCTTTATCAAATGAATTGAGTGTAGCTAACTCAAAATTGACCGAAAGTTAATTCTACTCATTTAAAAGGAGTTTTAAACTCAGTGTTGAAGGTAATGGGTTAATTAAATACCTCATTAATTCAACTTAATTGCAGTAGGTTCACACTACTCATATAGATTCGTTTTTTAACTCAAATGGTTTGTTGCAAATGATTTCCTCAAATGGTTTGAGTTAGTTTAACTTATTGGGTTTTACGCCCCATTCACACGGGGCTTCAGTGTCAACACTTGACAGAGGGTATGTCTGAAGTTAGGGCTAATGCAATCATCATAGCAGTGTCAGCTGACACTTCCGTCAGCGCTTAAAACGTTGAGAATGTCCCAACTGCTGCAGCGAGCAACGCCACTGAAGTGGTGCGGACTAGTCCACAGTGCAGTTCGACAACACCTAACGTCACCCATTCAAAGTTTCAAGTAATCCAGAGGCGACATGGTGGTGCAGTGGGTAGCACGTTCGCCTCACAGCAAGAAGGCCGCTGATTTGAACCTCGGCAGGATCAGTTGGCATTTCTGTGTGGAGTTTGCATGTTCTCCCCTTGTTCATGTCGGTTTACTCCGGGTGCTCCGATTTCCCCTACAAGTCCAAATACATGTGGTACAGGTCAGTTAGGTATATGCTAAAATTAACCATAGTATATGAGTGTGTGAATGAGTTAATGTTTTAACCAGTAATGGGTTGTGTCTGGAAGGGCATCCGCTGCGTAAAACATATGCTGGATAAGTTGGCGGTTCATTCTGCTGTGGCGACCCCAGATTAATAAAGGGACTAAGCTGAAAAGAAAATGAATGAATGTATAAACTTCCAAAGAGTCACAAAAAGAAAACTAAAAAAAAGTAAATAAAACTTTCACTAATATTTCAATGACAAATTCTTTTTGTTCTACTAAAAATAAGTGAGCAGAAAAATATTCATTACACTCTTTTAATGATTTCAAGACAGTCATGTTTATGACAGATTTATGACAAGTTATTATAAAGTATTGATAATATCAAGGGATAGAGATAAAGGGTGTTTTCACACCTGCCTTGTTTAGTTTGGTTGAAATGCTCTAAAGTTCATTTTCCCTCTTGGTGCAGTTCATTTGAGGAATTGTAAATTCAGCAATCGCATTTGAATGCGCACCAAAAGCCAACCAAAAAAGCCTACCGAGACCTCCTTGAAGAGGGTATCTCAATACGCTTTTAAACAAACCCTGGAGAGGTTAGTTTGTGGTGAGAACATGATCCCAACCAAAAGGAGACCCATCCACAAAAAGTACTGTGCCTTTTTGGACTAATCCAGTTTCCATAGTCTGATGCACTGTCCCATCTTATGGGGTGTGGAGAAAAAATATTTGTTGACTGCGCTTTACCAACAATTTTAAACAGAGAGAGAGAGAGAGAGAGAGAGAGAGAGAGAGAGAGAGAGAGAAAAAAAAACACTACCTGATGGATCGTTGATGGTCATGTCGCAGTTTTAGCTATTATTATTTAGCTAAAATAAATTCACACCTCCTCCTGAAGTGACTTGCTATGCGCCTTCGCTGTTTGCAATGAACTAAAAGATTGTTTTCCAGCTGCAGCCATGCTTCGTTCTCGAAATGTATAGTTTGTCTAAAGTGATGTTAGCAAACTATATAGTATATCACTAGGGATACAATAAGCCAGCGCAGTCATCCCTCCATTGTAAAAAGCAACATTTTGTGTCCGCCGTTTTGTTTACTTGTGGGAGTTCCATTGGCATTTAACCGCACGTTAATTCTGACCAATCAAAAAGCAGTTTAGGAAATACGTTCAATAACATCTGGCCAATGAGTGATGTGGATTTTGTCACATGACTGCATTTTGGATCTTTTTAACTGATTCTAATCTTTAACTGATTTTAACTGATTATTTTTAACTGATTCGGACCAAAGCAATCAGTGTGGTCTGAAAAGGACCCAAACAAACACAGAAAAATGCTACAACGTATCATTTGTCTGCCTGATCTCACGAGAAAATATAAGTATTTTACATATTGCCAGCTTAGTGGCTAATTCGTACGAGTTCAGTCGTACGAAATTGTACAGTTTTAAAAAGGAGGCGTGGCACCTAACCCCACCCCTAAACCTAACCGTCATTGGGGGATGAGCAAGTCATATTAAATTGTACGAATTAGATCGTACGGATTCATACGAATTAGCCACTAAATTAAAAAGTTATGAATTGCCGTAAGATTGTGTTGTATTTGTTGCCCTCGGTCTGGACCAAATGAACCGAACCATAGATGTAAAAGCATTCAAAGACAGGCTATGACGTATTTGGTTATGTGAAGTTGTCTAAACAAAGACACCTCAAACAGTGTTATCTTTGCACTTAAAATTACATAACTGAGCGAATGACAGTTGTCATAAGCATGCATAAAATCACATTAATATTCATGATGTGTGTCATGTCATGATTATAAAGGTTTCATGACACCACCTTCAAGTAACTGTTACGTTTTTGAATGATTTAAGCTTTAGAGTGCAGCAGATGTAAACAGACAGCCAAGAAAGTCACAAGCAACTGACGGTTTTGTAGTAAGCTTTGTTTACATGCGGCTTTATGTAGCTAGTACGTTTTTCAAGAGATTAGATCTGTCTGCCATACACATAATGACAAATAATGATGTTTTTCAGTCTCTCCCTCTGTGTTTTCATCTTGCCACCTCTTACTCGTCCCCACAGCTATCTTCAAATTATATCTTTTTTATGATCTCTTTTTAGCTTTCCAGAGCTAGCATGATCGCAATTTAGCTACTTAAAACCACAAGTAGCTCATAGCTTAGCATGGTACGCTCTCGAATCACACAGATGTTTGCTTTCCAGTGTAAGCATGCAATAGTCAAGGGTTCGGCTGTGTCTGAACATTGACAAAGAACATTCATCCTTTTCTTTCTTGTTTTCCAACTGTGACGGTGAGGATTAGCCGTCCTGATTGGCCTCGCACATCACTCACGTCAGTCGCTGTCAGTCGCCTGTGTACCTTAAGTGTTTTTCCATCCCTCCTTTCATTCCGTCTATCCATTTCCATCACTCTTTCTCAGCTGACATCTGTCAGCGCTAGGCATTAGCATTACCTGTTTCAGCGCTTCTCTTTGTATCACTCTATTATCCATCTCCCTTTCTCTTTATTCTCTTCCATTTCACTCCAAGCTCACACTTCCTCGCTGTTCGTCAGGCTGAATGTCCCCTGTTTTTCATTCATTCTTCTATTCATGCAGTCCCGAAACGCTTCCCTGAAAAGGTGTTCTTGAAATGTTTTGTTTACGTTCTTTCATCCCCCCCGTTTCATCTCTATAGGCAGCGGCCATTTCAGTTATTTCTGTAGCCTAATGCATCCTGTCTCTCTCTGTCTAGACGACTATAAATCAGAGCTGAGGGAGCAGTTGCCACTGATTGCGGGCTCGGCCGCGGCTGGAGTGGTCTTCATCGTGTCTCTGGTGGCCATATCTATAGTCTGTCGAAGGTGAGTTAGCCAGACGCATGACTGCTGCATGTGCACACAATGATGAAAAGCCAGAATTCAGTCTATAGCTAAATACTATTTACAGTCAAGGCTGAAATTATTCCTGCATACCCATGGGAAATTCTGACTAAAAGTTACTTTTATTAAACCATTTTAGTGTTTTTATTTTATTTATTTGTTTATTTTTTTTTTTGACCGAACATGACACAGGCTTCTCCTAAAAGATAATACAATGATGTACAGAAGCATTATTGTGGAAAAAAAAATTACTTATATTTGAACAAAAAGTGGCATGTTCAAAATTATTCTCAATAATCAATAACAAAATGCTTTTTATTGGCTATTACAGCAATCAAACACTTGCTATAATTGCTGATTAGCTTTTTGCAGCTCTCCACTGGTATTTTTTTTCATTTATCTTTAGTGATGCTCCAACTCTTTTAACTCTTGTCATCACCTTGATCTATAGCTATATAGATTCTCAACTGGATTAATGTCGGGACTCTGGCTGAGCTACTGCAAAACTTTTTTTTTTTTTTTGCTAACCATTTATTTATTACTTTTGTGATGTCTTTAATAATTTAATAGTTTTTTTAAATAATTCAATTAAATGCCGCCACCTACTAGTGGTGTTAGTCACACACAACAGGCCTAAACCTGCTAAGTAACCGGCAGAAAACACATACTTTTATTTTATTATTTTTACTTATTTTATTTTATTTTATTTTAGTTTACTTTAGTTTATTATTTTATTATTTGCATTTTATTATTTTATTTTATTTAGTTTTAATTTAATATTTGTATTTGTATTACACTTTATTTGTATTTTATTTTGCATTTATTTTATTTTATATTGTTTTATTTAATTTTTTATATATAATTTGTATTTGTATCATGTTTTTATTGTATTTTATTTGTATTTTATTTTATTTGTATTTTTTGTATTTTATTTTACATGCTTTTATTTTATTTCATATTATTTGCATTTTATTTTATATTATTTTATTTTAGTTTATAATATTTAATTTAATTTAATTTTAATTTATTTTATATTATTTTTGTTTGTATTTTATTTTATTTTATTTTATTTGTATTTTATTTTATATTATATGATTTTATTTATGTATTTTTTTGCATTTCATAATGCAGTTTTAGTATAATGTTAAACAAAATATGTATTACACATTATGTAAACTGTATATTTGTTTTTTCTAATACACAGTTATTTTTTATTAAATTGTATCATCTTTTAAACAATATTAATTTTTGCAAAAAAACTGCATTATGAACATAAAAATTTAATATGTTACATCCTAGTACAAATAAGAGTGGTACATTTTCTAGCGATTTATTAGTGTCATGCTCTATATCAAAGCTCTCTGCTTGCAGCGAGTCTTAGTTTAGCCACTAGCTCTCCTCAAGAGTAAAGCATCTCCTCTTGCTGATAAATTGGTCTTTATCTGAGTCAGTTCTTTGCTGTAGGCTAACAGTAATGATGGGTGAGGTGATGCAATTCCTGTAAACAGTAAGCAATTCATGCTTTTAATCCAAAAAATAAAAGATTTAGACCACAAAAAGGCTTCTCCAAACCCCCAGCCACAACTGTATGCAAAACCAGCCTGACTAAGAGTTTAGTTTTCTTACTTCAGTTTTAGTCAGACAGAAAGTTTGGATCTAACTTTCTAGTGTTATAGCATCAACTATTGAATAAAAACATTGTGTCATTGTGTCACTAAGTTGCTGGTGTTTTACAAGAACAATCTTCAATTTGGGCCAGCTTTTTACTTCCTTGTCTGACCAAACATCTACAGTTGTGTACAAAAGTGTTTGCCCTCGTACTGACTTCAGGGCTATGTATTTTGTTTCCCATAATAATAAAAAACTCTATTTAAAAACTGCATGATGTGTTTACTTGAGTTGTCTTTGACTAATATATGAATTAGTTTGATGATCTAACACATGAAAGTGGCAAATACTTTTTCACACCACTCTACAGTATGAGCAAGAAAAGCCCTCACAACAATTATTACTTATTAATTAATTATTTACTAATTATTAACACTTAAGGTTATAAAGCGACTCAGATTGTGAATGTTTAAACAAGCTGAGCAAATCCAGACTCATTTAATAGCTATGTTTTTAAAATTCTATTGCTTCTTTCTGTCTTTCTCTCAAAGGAAACGAGCTTACAATAAGGAGGCAGTGTACAGTGACAAACTCCAGCATTACAGCACTGGCAGAGGTGAGCAAACTTTTCCATTATAAAAAGCAACAGCTGGGTTCCTGAAGTAAAAAAAAAAAAAAAAAAAAACTCATATGAAGGGAAATTAATTTACAAAATTACAGGTAAAGCTTTAAAGACAAGCCCGTTCCAAAATATCCAAGGTCCAAAAGTCATTTTACAGACTTTTTTGTTGTACCGCTGTAATCTTTAGTTCCCTCGGCAGTTTCTCAATTGGATTTATGTCAGGAATCTGGCTAGGCCACTGCAAAACATTTCTTTTTTTTGTTTGATAATCAGTTATTTACCACTTTTGTTTTGCATTTTGTGTTGTTGCTATTCTGAAATGTCCACTGGCAACGAAGGCTAAACTTCTTTAATAAGTTTAATAGTTTTTTTAATGATTAAGTTATTGTCACCACCTACTAGTGATGTTATTCGCACATGACAGGTCTAAACCTGCTAAGTTACTTGCATAAAACACATTTTATTTTATTTTATTTTATTTTATTTTATTTTATTTTATTTTATTTTATTTTATTTTATTTTATTTTATTTTATTTTATTTTATTTTATTTTACATTTTTAATACAATTTATTTAATTTTTATTTGTTTGTTTCAATTTTATAAAGATTGATGCATGAAACAGTAGAGAATAAATAAATAAATAAATAAATAAATAAATAAATAAATAAATAAATAAATAAATAAATAAATAAAGAAGACCACTTTTAAAATAATTTTTTTTCTTGATTGAATCACTTTATTAAGTATATGTGTGAGTAAAATGTTTTCAAATTTGATGATTGATGATTTTTCTGTTAAACTAATATTAAAATCATTTCCATTCACAGCATATTTTCCAGTAAATGGTAATTGGTTAAAATAACAAATGTTTTTTATTTGTTTTAATTGAAAATCAGGCTTCTTCCAAGAAATATTGATTTCTTAACTCTGTTCAAGTTCTAATGTAGGTATTGTTTTGGTATAATAATACCAATTTTCAGCAGTACTTGCGGAAAAAGGTAACTAAGAAAAATATGTTATACTGAAACTGTAAACTGTAACTCCAGAGAATTGCCAACTGTCTCTAACAGTATTTCAAACACCAAAGACCCAGTCCAGGTCCAAAGACATGTGGTATATTGGCTGTAGTGTATGAGTGCGAGAGTGTAGCTCTCTGAGTTGCCAGTGCTGAGTTGCAGCTGGAAGGGCATCCGCTGTGTAAAACATATGCTGGATAAGTTGGTGGTTTATTCTTCCGGTAAAAAGGAACCAAGCCAAAAGAAACTGAATGAATGAATGAATGAATGAATGAATGAAAAAACTGATAGAAAGAAAAAAAAAACACGATTGATGTTGATTGACATCTGCGTTTTATACTCGGCTCCGCCCCTTCCTCTGAGGCAAATATTATCCTGAAATGGGTTTTAAATTGGAACTAAAGCAAACAAAGAGGCAAAAACTGAAAAATATAGATGTGAGGTTACAGGAAACGCCGGGGGATGCAGTGTAACGGAGGAAAGGAATGAGGGATCGCTCCAGGCCTGCACGCTTTTAAAAAGCTGACACGAAAAAAGCTCTTCCAACCCGTATACATCCCACAGCCCGGCAAGAGGCTTCAGGCTCATTAGGAAGTGCGAAATCTCTCTCTTTCTCTCTCTCTCTCTTTCTCTTTCTGTCTCTCTGTCTCCTTGTAAGCAACCTCTCAGAGGATTTGGTGGGCGATCTGCGAAACCAAATTTAATTAACATAAGTGCAGACGAAAAAGTAAACAAATGATGTGACAGCCAGACTCACACATCAAACAGACAATTTAGAAAGCAGGAAGAAGAAAAAAAGAGAACAAGAGGCTGTGGGAACATGATCTCATTGTCAGGAGAAATATTCGGATAATTACTGTATCAGAATTTATTCAGTCCTGAATGTCAATGCATATGAGCTAAAACAAAGCGAAGGACTCTTCGCTGAATATAATTGGCGAAAATGTCACAGACATCCTTGGGTTTCCTAGCATTAGGATTATTAAAACTTTTTTTTTTTAGTAAAGGTGCTGGAAGTGTGAAGTTGGTGTCTGCATACAGAAGTTAACTTAAGGGGACTTTCAAACTTATTACAGATAAGGATATTAAAATATTACCTCCAATGTCAAGGGCAGACTAGATTTTCACTAGTGAAAATGTTTTTTATGTGTAATGGTAGTTGAAACTAAGGCCCAATCCCAATTCTGTTTTTTTACCCCTGCCCCTACTCCTTCTCCTTGGCCCTTGAAACGGGGAAAAGTGTGAAAGCTAGGAGCTTCAAATTTAGGCCCATTTACAGGTTTTGAGAAATCGCCAACAAATGCCTGAAATCATGCATCAAATCATGCCGTGTGGAATGAGTTTTGACTGAAAATAACATCGGCGATCGCCTTCAGCCAATGAGAGAGCAGCATTCACTTGTGTGTGTGTACTTGCAGGCCAGCGGGAGGCTGGGGGAGAAGTTAAAAGCGCTAATTTTCGGTTTATTTAGAACCAAGAAATGGAGGAAAAACTAGTGGAGATTTGACAGGAGCACCCGTGTCTTTTTGACGTTACTTACAGAAAGTTAAAAAAGAAAGTTGAGGAGAAATGGCCAATTCCCTTCAAACCCTGAGGAGAAAATATGTACATTTTCTACCCCATTAAAAGCTTCTTTCTTATTATGTAGTTATTAACAAAATATATACTACGTGTTTTTGGCTTTGAGACGTAGTTTGGACAAAGTTGTCGGCGAAGTCGTGCAATGTGAAAGCCCCTGTTGCCGATCCATCTAGCTGTGTAAACAAAGCAGTGACAAAACACTAGTCCAAATAGTCATGCTGTGTGAAAACATCTGCGACACCACTACTTTAAAAGTCATGCAGTCTGAACTTGGCATTAGTTTTAAAATGCAAAAGTTTTGCTTCAGTTACGCCTTTCATCCACACTACCCCAGAGTTTTCGAGCGCTGAAAACGGACCGTTTTGAAGAAGCCGTTTTCATTTTAACCTTTGTGTGGTGTTCGTATTTTGGTTACTCAGCCAGTGTTCATGGGTCTGGTGGACCCGCTAGAGTTTTGGCTTTCCAAATAAACACTATCAAACAATTTTATGGTAAATTACTAAACAAATGTTTACTTAATACCAATTTCAAGCCATATGAACACCAAACATGGTTAATTTTTCCACTTTTCCTTTGTTAGATTTTATTGATGAATTACTTTCCAGATATTTACCGGTATCACTGTGTGAAAGGGGCTCTTGTATTGTGATATTCATGACAACTGCACTCTCAGAAATAAAGTACTAAAGCTGGCACTGGGGTGGCACCTTTTCAAAAGGTGCACTTTTATACCTTTCAGGTGCACATTGGTACCTTATATAAATATATTTGTACCTAAAGGGTATACTTTCATACCTTTAAGGTACTATAAGGTAAACTATTGTACTTTTAGGTTTAAATATGTACCTTTAAGGTACAGATGTGAACCTGATAGATAAAAGTGCAACTTTTGAAAAAGATACCACTAGGGATGGGTATATTAAGATTTTAATGGTATTACTACTTTTATTAATATTATTTCGCTTTGGTGCTTTAACTGTACTCCTAACAGTACTTTTTGTACAGTTTATTATTTAAAACAAAAACAAATTGAACAGAATTAGCAACATTTTATTATTACTTTTTAAATTGAAATAAAATGAATCCAATAATTGTAAAACAAATAAATTAAATAATTCATGTAAAAAAAAATAAGTACAATGGCTTGAAGGAACACAGGTGTAACATGCAGTTATGCTGCAAACGACTCTTAGTTTTCTTAGTTTATTAATTCTTCTGGAGAAAAATCACCATGTTTAATATTGGGACCTTTCCTGGCTTATTGTGCTCCCTGCAGTTGAAAACGAGCCATTTAAGTTGCAAAGTGCAGTTAAACAATCAGCCATGGCTAAAGTTTTTGATTTATATTGATTATATTAATTAGATTCTGATTCAGTTTAAATTTGATTTGCATTTACTACACAGATAAAACGATTAATTACTTTACTTAAAAATAAAAGAGTAAACCCATAAACTAAAATCAATTTAAGGTAACATTTCTGTGTAGAGTTTGCATGTTCTCCCAGTGTTGGTGTGGGTTTCCTCTGTGTGCTCCGGTTTCCCCCTACCTATTTCAAAGACATGTATTATAGGGGAACTATACAAACTAAATTGACCGTAGTGTGTGTGTGTGTATGAATGTGAGAGTATGGGTGTTTTCCATTTTCCATTCATCCATCCATCCATCCATCCATCCATCCATCCATCCATCTGTGCATGCATGTCTTTTTCATCTTATTGAATTAGTTTGTAAACAGCTTTATTAACAATACAGCAGTGCAGTGTCTCGGCAGCACAGCATGTTTTTGCTCAAATCCTTTCTTCCATGAAATGTCAGCATTACTCTACCTGCCCAGCCAACAGTAGGAGCCTGCGTGAAACTCTATGCTCCGTCTTGTCTTAAATGCTCCTTTTTTTGTCTGTCATGTCACTGCTATTTCTGTGCCTTCATTTTGCTGAGTCACAACCAGGGCTGTTGTGCTAGTCAGTAAACTGGAACCTGGTTAGAAATAAAACGCCCACCGCTTTCTCTTCTCCGTCTCTAATGAGCACCCTAAGGAGCTGAAAGACTTAAACTGCAGCGAATGAAGAAAAAAAATTACTACTGAACATAAGATGGAGATATGGTATTGTGTAATATTGATTTAAAGGTCCACTTAAATGTCTTGAAGTGCATGGCTTTGGATGAGACATGACATAATTTCAATTGAAACATGATGACAGGGTGGGGCATGTTTAATAGCCCCTCCCCCTTTTTAAAAATAGCCAATAGCATATTGTTTATACCACAGCCCTTTTAGTCAGAGTTGTTGAGCTAAAACACATCTCATGACAGCCACAGTTTATAATAACAATGCTGAGTCTGTCTAACTGTTTCAAAGTTTTAAAACATTCAGTGTAATTCTAATGGGTCCTAT